AAACATGAAATTTGGAACAATCTTGTGCCACCCTTGCACAAAACGACGATCATTTTTCTAATTTCATAGATAACAGAAGACCCCGCCTGTAGCCATATAACGAGAAACAGTAGTTACCTTCTGGGTGGCTCGTCATTGAACATCTCCTTGATGTGGTCCTTAAATCGCACCTCGGGCAGGCGAGTGTTCTTCGTCTTGTTCACTATAATGCACTTGCCCAGCTGGTCAATGTTGTGGTCCATTCCAAAGTAGGCTGCACACCGATGCACGAGCATGCGATGATAGCTCGACATGGGCGGAAACTTGTAATGGCTCTGACTGAAAAAAACACGCCCAAATCAACCCACTGACTCTGATCACCGATGAAAGACTTTTACAATTGATCGTGAATGAGACTGAGCAGCTCCTCTTCAATGCGCAACATCAGCGCCCGATCCTTAGCACACCTGTTGATGGTGGCTGGAATGAACCGCTCCAAATCAGCCCCAGTTGTGTCCGTGTAATGGTCTGCACTACTATCTGGAATTTGAACAGTTGCCTCAAATCCCATGTTAAAACAGCGCTGGCTGCTCACCTCTGGAAAGACAGGGACTGTTTCCAGATGAACTTTCAAAGCTCAGGCTCGTTTGCGAGGAGGACTGTTGCCGCAGCTTGCCCCTGTTCCTGCCCACGTGCAACACGTTGTGGTTCATGTTGCTGTGATTGTTGTTGTTCCCGCCTCGGTCTTTCAAGCACTTGATGCATGTTTGGTGCTGACAATCGCAGAAGTTTCTACTACAAGAAAAACTCTTCTTGCTGGCAATTCTTGACAAAACACTCGTCTTACTTTTGGAAACTAACGGCTGCGGAACACTTCTCCGATTCAGTGGCGGTGCGTTTGGGACTGGAGTCAATTTCAAGGGGGTGCAGCCGTTCGTAGCCATCATTGCCCTCGCAGTGTGAAGTCCTGAAATGGCGAAACGTTCAAACGACCGCCAGCCCTCAAAACCGGGGAGTTTCACCTACCGTGCGCTTGAACTTCTAGAGGGCGACTCATGAGTACTCACTTCCTCATCAACGGGCGACGGACTGAGAATCACTGTGGGAGGCGAGTGGAGTTGGGCAGCGTTTTCCTCAGCTGCGGGCTCCCTTGGAGGCGACTGCTCCTCGCGCATTGCATGGCTTCTGCCTAGAACCTTCAGCTTGGAGGTGGGCTGCAATCAAAAACACAGTTTCCATGTGCTCAAGAAACCCTCCCGACACTCACCCGTCCTCTGCAAGGCGTAATTGATTGATCTTCATCTGCGGCCTTCATTTCCGAGCTCCGTGGTCTCATTCTGTTAACTGAAGTTGCGGTCGATCAAAGAGCTGAAACCCCAAATGCAGCGCTAATTAATTTACAGTTGCATCCAAGCATTGCAAGCCTACCGGTCCATGCGTCAATACGTGGCTTTAGAACTCCAGCTTGTGTAAACTGTAATAAAAAACTTTTTAGAAACCTCATAAACCGATAAATATGTGCGCGATCTGATTCAAACTCGTTTATGTGCCTCCAATTTCCTCAACATACGAACACGTGAGCGAATGGCATGAAAAATCAGGAAACCCTGGCCGGGTTGTTGCTACCGATTCCATTCAAAATTCGCAAGTGCCTCGCTTGACTTTACACGTTGTTGCAATGTTTCTAAAACTTCTCAGAAACCTCAGTTCAGGCACCCCCCAGTGGATTTAACATTTGTAACTTGCGCTTGACTTGAGAGCGTTTTCTTCCGGCTCTGGCCGGCTAATTGGCGATTCCAGTCAAATGTTGGCAACAGTGATAAATACCTGGCTGGAAGCCAATGGTCGAGCCGGTGACGTAACGGCGTCGAGCTTTGGGAATATTCATCGGACGTCGAAAGCGTCGATGCGAATTTTGGCAAGGGAGCTGCTAATCAGCCAACTAATTTACACGGGCTAAACCGAGCCGATTTAATCTCGTCTGGCAACTGTTTCAGTTCCTTGTCGTAGTCGGTAAAAACATCGCTGCGATCAAACTAGGACAAAGACCCACTGGAAATCCTGCTCGAGTGTACAAGAGTGTATCTTGAAGCCCCGAGAGTTTTCCTTCAATTGGACTGTGCTTTCACGCAATTGTTCCCAGTTCAAAATCGTTCAATTAGAAAACACATCCTAGCAGAATGTGCTGACAGGAATTTCAAAAAACATCCACTAATTTCGCCTGTACAGGCTCAATGTAATTTATGCCTGCCCCTCGTATCTAACATGCGTGCGACAAAGACAGCCAAGAGTTCATTGCAACTGCTGTATGTTGCGCTCGCTCTTGACTACGGCGTCGCTTCGTCTTTAACCCGCGCTTGTGTTACCGGGGGCCATCCATAACGACCGCCACATTTCGATTAACCCAATCAAAATAAAAATGTTTATGGTCTATTTTCCCACATACAACTAGATTTTTGATTGTTGGCGCTTGAAAAACCGGGTCTGGTCCCGACAAAGCAACAACATTTAATCAACTTGCCCGTTAAAATACCCCAAAGCACATCTATGGCATTTCATTACAGATGAGAAACCCTTCTATAAAAGGGGCAAATTGAATCTGAAATGGATTTTTCGCACTAAACGACCAAGCAGCGGTAATTAATTGCCCGCAAAAGACTTTAATCCAAACAATGAGGAAAACGCGGCATTTTGGAGGCTACTACTGACTGAAAAGTATGAAAGAACTTGATGTTTCCACAACCACCAACAACGAGAAATCGGGGGTAAGTTTGCTGACTGCTTGCAGGTAAGATAAACAGTTTCACTTACCAACTAGCACTTGGCGGAAAACAACAACAACAAACCGTCGGACCATCCAGAAGTTCCAAAGGCAGCTAGAACATGTCGAATCCAGCCGAGCAGACCCACTGAACCAGATTTTCCCCCCAAGTCGAACTTGACGTCGCGACGCTCGGCATCCGAATCGATCATCGCACGGCGCGTGTAAGTCGTCGTTCGGCGCATCGATTAGAAATTACCGCGAAATTTCGGCTCGATTTCTCGGAACGTGATCGCCTTTCGAAAAACGGGGGTTGTTTACGTAATCTGGACAGGTTTCTAAACCACCCTGCTTGGGGAGGAAGTTGAACTTGTTAATCGCTCCAGTTCCGGCAAATTCTCCACAAGTACGGTTGCTGACGACACAGGCATGATTGCATCAATAATTGTATATACTTTCCTGACTGTGTTTCAATTCCAAATCAAAATTAATTCCTGGGTTTCAGCCATTTATTGTCGCTATTTATCAATTAAAATACGTTTCGGTGTATTTTTCCACAATCATCAGTTTTTCTAAAATAACATTTTAGAACCTTAAATTAATTTAAAAAACAATCACAGTTCGTCAACAGCCTCATCATATCCCACATTAAAATACATCACAATTGCAATACTTTAAAACATTCTAAAATGAATTAGGCCTAACAGGTGATTAGTTAGGACAATCAAATTCAAAGCAGCAACTGGCATAAAAAGAAATTCATAACAGATAATTTGAAAGGAACACTATCTTGCAACAATGGCCGAGCACCATTTATATATGGCCTACCAAAGCTTCATAAGGAAAACATTCCATTACGACCGATAGTTAGTAAC